ACTATTGATACAGCTAAACATTTGAGGAAGCTTTAATTGAAAAAAAATATGTCTGTCATAACTGTGATAGCAAAGAAAAACTATCTAAAATGAGTAACTAAAAGGTATTTTGGGTTATTCTATTCTTTATCATTGAATCAATATATAGTTTTTCAAAGGTACTTTAGCTACTGTAAATTTGACCTTGATTTTTTCATCAGTTTTCCTGTGTGTGTCACTGAGGACATTATTATGACTTAGTCCAGAAATTGTCTATGACAAATCTATAGGTTTAATTAAAGCAAGAAAATCAAATGTAATATCAAAAATAATGTAATTGTTATTCGTGTAAGAAAAGTTGCATTTAAACATGATTGACTGCAGGCAAAGTACACAGTACAACTAAAAACTCCATGCAATTCACTTCATCTATAGAGAGACAGCAAACTGAGCGTGTCCAGTCAACAAATATTTGAAAACCTCAGCTTGTATCTGGGCAGTAATTTAGAATTGAAGTGGCTGTGATAAAAAATATGGGCAAGGAACACAGCAGAAATGAAAGACAGATACATCTAAATTCAATATTTTGATCAAATGAGTATCCTGACAGGAGAGACAGATGTAGCAAGAATAGTAAAAGCACTTGCTGAGCAGTGCAATTCTGGTCATAGTTTCCTGGAATTCAGACTTCCCCCTTGACTTCTGCGTCTGTGTTTTCCCTCTCTCCTTTCCTAGCTCATTATTCTTGAATATTTTTTATTTCTCAGGCATTTTAGCTCTTCCTTTAAGTTCTCTCTCTTTTTTTTTTTTTTTTAATATCTTCAAGCAACTTTTTTGGTATATTGGATATATGAATGGAGTGTAAAATAGAAATTGAGTTTGTAGGGGCTTTGCCTTTTAGAAATACTTCAACAAATACTAATTTGTGAAAGAACCATCCCATGATTAAAACTGAAAACTAATTTTTGTACTTAGTGTCTTTAGTGTCAGATGTATTTTCAGGGAGATGAACCTCCTTATTTTATGCTCTTATATGCAGGACAGGTGCAATGACACTTTCTGATCCCAGAGTTATGATTTTGAGTTATCAGCTGCTCTGTGTGTTCTTTTAAAAGACACTGTACACCAGTCAGCTTCAAAAGAAGACAGGCCAGCATTGCCGTAAACTCTAGTCCACTTTAGCCAGCTAAGAACCTTTGTCTGATGCCTACCTTTAAAATTCATAGAAAGGTTTGGGTTGAAAGGTGCCTTTAAAGGTCATCTGGTCCAGCTCCTTTACAACTAGACCAGATTGCTCAAAGCCCTGTCCAAACTGACCTTGAATGTTTCCAGGGATGAGGCATCCACCACCTCTCTGGGCAATGTGTTCTAGTGTTTCACCGCCCTCATAAAACATTACTTCTTTATATCTAGTCCAAATTTACCTTCTTTTAGTTTAAAACCGTTACCACTTGACCTATTGCAACAGGTTGTACTGAAAATTCTGTCCCCATCTTTCTTATAATCCACCTTTAATTATTGAAAGGCCACAATAATGTCTCCCTGCAGTCTTCTCCTGGCTGAACCACCCCAACTCTCTGAGCCTGTCTTCATGGGAGAAGTGCTCCACCACTCTGATCATTTTTGGGGCCTTCCTTTGGACCCACTCCCACAGGTCCAGTGCTGAGGACTCCAGAACTGGATCCAGTACTTGAGGGGGGGTCTCATCAGAGTTGAGTAGAGAAGAAAAATCACCTCCTCACTATACACCTCTCACATCTTGGTGTATAGCAATACTTCCACCCCCACAATGAAGATGAAATATTTTTACTTGCTCTGAATCAGTCTTTCTAACTGTCAAGATAAATTAAGAAGAACTCAAACCACAAAGCTCAGAGTTCTTACTTTCCCACAGTTCTTATAGGATTAGCCATGCAGGGGAAAAATATTGCTCTTTAGCCCTTCACCTCTGAATTGTGAAGTAAAGTCATACAAGTGTGATGGTCTTTCTTTTTTAATAGTCTTCCTCAATTAATTGACTTCAAAAACTGTCAAAAAGTATCAGACCTTGGAAATTACTGATTTATGCTGAATTTCTGTCTTTCGTGTGGTAAACATTGCTGTGTTGGCTTTAATATAAGGTATGATTTAACTGAAGCGGAAGAAAGATGCCGTTTTTATTAAGCAGGCAGTTACTTTGATTGAAACTTCTGTACATCTTTGTGGTGATTGCTGCATGTCAGGCTTCTATAAAATGACAAAAACAGTTGAAGTTCAGATTGATTAGAGATAATTTGAAGGCACTTACAAACTGCAGACTTTTAGTCATTATATTGATAGTCTGACTGTAAGTTCCACTTAAGATTTACTTTTAAACTTCACTGGTCAATTTTCATATCTGTGGAGTTAATTTTGTTTTGGAAACACATGGCATATCATCATATATGTGTAGATGGTTTGCAGGTTTTTTTAGGTTTGTCCAAGTTATGGCTGAAGAAAGGAAGCTGCTTTCAAAAAACCCTCTGTGCAGATTTACTCTTTGTTTACCAGTACTGTAGCTATCCCAATTACTTTAAATTTTGTCTCACCCTTTATTCTCTGAGCAGAGAAGATTTTCATAGCTTAATACTTTGTTTTCCATCTTGAAGAAAATTCAGTTATGTGTTAACTGGGCTAGAAAGAGGCTAATATACATGTCTTACATGGTAGTTGGCTCCTTGTTCATTTAAGAACTCCTGTCATTCTCCTTGGAAATACCTAGTGCATGTCATTTATTCCCACCACCGTCATCAGCATTCTTTCATTTAGGTTGGTGCAGATAGGCAGAAAAATTAAATAACATAATCTGAAGTACTAATAATACTATAATTTTCAATGCAGCCTATTCCAGGAGTGACCATCTTGACTTAATGTTTTGATTGTGCTTCTTTATATTAGGTCGTTCCATAAAAGTGCTTTCAGGAAAGAAGTATTGACTAAATACATGGCATTTCATCTTTGTATCTTCATGAGATTTTAAAAAACTAATTTAAAAAAAAAACATAAAAACACATTGCACATTAAATTATGCAATGGTGCAATGGTCCTTTATAGGACCAATTTAATTTGAAAATCTCATCAGAAGTTTCTGGGTTTAGAATCTGTGGTCATCAGGATGGCTTCGTTCTTTTTCCCTGTTCTCTCTCTCTCTTCCCTTCTCTCTTCTGTTATTGCAGAAGAGGTCGTTTGCCCACTTTTAATCAGAAAAGTGCTTAACATTTTTTCACGGTAATTTCTCATTATTTTAACAATAAAAGCTAAAAAAAAAGAAGAAAGAAATCAGTCTTTGTTCTGGTATCTCTTACAGTGCTGATATGTTGAGCTTGCTTGCTTTTATAAAGAAAGCAAATAATGATGTAAATTTCTCAGGAGACCATGGTCATCTGATTTTCAGTTTATTCCAAATGAAGAATATGCTAATTAAAACAATTGTAATATTTTTCCTGCAATTATTTTTTAATTACAACTGACTTAATGAACTACTTCTGCATACTCAGTTCTCATGGGTGTGTTTGGTAAGTTAGAAGACTTGCCAGAGCAAAACTTCATCAAGGAAAACACTGGGAAAATCAGTGTTGTTTCAGAGCCAGTCGATCCTGAACCTTCACCAATCTGTGTAGTAGCATCAGTGGCCTTGAGGCAGTGAAAGGAATTGTCTTTTTCAACAACATTATGTATACCAATATTAATTTTTCTACAGCTGAGAATGTAGTTGAAATACACAGTTGTTTTACAATCCCTTTCAGTCATAAGAAATTGGAGCAATTAAATTCTGCTACATGACTTCTCAGCAGAAGTGAAAATAGCAAAACAATAATAATTGCCAGCACATGAAAGACGGGAATTGGTTATTTGATGTCTTTGAAGATTTATTAAGAAAGGACTTGTATTTCCACAAATCGCCTTAGAATTAACACTGAGAGCCAAAGCATGTAACGTGCTGTGTGCAATGGACCAAAAAGGTGACTTTTGTAGAAGAGTTCTTGAAAGGGACAAGAGCAGGGGGCCTGAAGTTTAGTAGATACAAGACAATGGTTTGTGTAGCAATTTTTAGCTGGGCAGGTAGAAGCCCCAGTTTAGAAATACACTGTGTTGAGTGTTAAACACAGTACAAATGTATTAATTTGTGTAAGTAAGAGACAACACCCAAGTTACAGAACGTATATGAGAAAATCATAAATCTGTTCTCTCCTACTGTGTATGTAACACAGAATCACAGGATAGGCTGAGTTGAAAGGGATCCAAAAGGATCATCGAGTTCAACTCCTGGTCCTGCACAGGACCATTTCCAAGTCACACCACATGACTGAGAGTATCACCCAAATGCTTCTCGAACTCTGTCAGCCTTGGTCATGTGACCGCTTCCCTGGGAAGCCTGTTCAGTACCCAGCCACCCTCTGGGTGAAGATCCTCTTTTTAATATCCAACCTAAACCTCCCCTGACACAACTTCAGGACATTCCCTTGGGTTCTGACACTGGTCACCACAGAGAAGAGACCAGTGTCTGCTCCTCCTCTTCCTCTCACAAGGAAGTTGTAACTGCAATGAGATCTCCCCTCAGTCTCCTCCAGGCTGAACAGACCAAGTGACCTCAGCCGCTCCTCATACGGCTTCCCCTCAAAGCCCTTCACCGTCTTCATTGCCCTCCTTTGGACACTCTAAGAGCTCAAGATCTTTCCTATGTTGCAGTGCCCAAAACTGCCACAATATTCAAGGTGAGGCAGCATCAGTGCAGAGCAGAGCAGGACAGTCCCCTCCTTTCTGGCAAGGAAAGTCACCCAGAAGGATAAGGGCACTTGACTTGGAAATGTCCCTTATTTCCTCAAAGAATAATTTGTCGTCCTGACTGGGAAGTTTTTAGTAAACTCCGATGATGACATACACATTATTTGTTGATTCTTACACAGAGGCTTTCAACTGTGTCATTGTCAGCTGTGAACTCCGTGCATTCTAACCCTTCTATTACGTACAGTGCCACCCCTCTGCTTCTGCCCTGCCTGTCTCTCCTGAAGAGCCTGTAACAATCCAACAGGCCTCTCCAGTCGCAGGACTCGTCCCACCATGTTTCACTTATGTCAGTGATATCACGTCTCTGGGACTGGGCAAGAGCTTTGAGCTCCTCTTGTATGTATGACTGATTAAGAATTTGGCCACTCTGTCAGTTTTATTAACTTCTCTTTTCTTTGGGGCTAAGCAGGGCAAAGGAAAAGAGAGTAGAGAGGGGCAGGAAAGGAGTGTGTACTAGGCAGCTGAATCAAAAGCTCAGACCTTTTTTCTGGAGCAGCTGAAAACACGGATTCCAGAAGGGACAGTTTGAACCATGCCATGCTCACCAAAATTAATATATACCTACCAAAAGTAAGTACCTTTCCAGAACAGAAACAATAGAAAGAGAGATCCTAAAAGCTCCAACATTTTGACTCTACCATCCAATACTGGCGTGTGTTTGAAATCATTGTCTGGAAGATGCCTTTGAAAAATACTGAAGTTTGGAAGTTTGTTGTCATGTGAAATGAATAAGCAGCATTTCTAAGCTTTCAGTGAGGGAAGCTGAGAGAAATGCAGCACAGTCTTTCACCTTACCCGCATGAACTCCAGAGTCAGGAAGCATACCATAAATGAGATGAACCGTCTCTCTCCTGACTGACCAGAGTGATCAGAGCCAGAAGAATGGAGGACTGTTATACCTAAAGGGCAGATGGTATCTCAAATACCTTTGCAGGCAATATTTGCCATGTACAAAACTCTGATGTGGCCAATAGACAAATGCATTGCTGCAAACAGAATGTCACTGTTTGCTGTTCTCAGTACCAAGGAATTCCAAGTATCTCCTATGCCCCCCCCACTAGAGAAGATCCTAATGTTCCACTGGATTAGAAATAAAGTGGTGCATTCTCAGCTCTCTGAATCTTTGAAGTAGACAGATGAGCTAGCGAAATTGTTTCAAATACAAATCTTCTAGCTGTTGGTTCATTGTACAAAGATTTTGAAGGGATTCTTCTAAATAAAAATAAAAGACTTAGATGATCTCCTAATTATTTTTCCACATTCATACAAGTGTACATTTCATAGTAGCCTCTCTGAATAGCAGTCATGGCTTTACAAAGCTTTTAGGAAATCTCTATTACTTTTTTGCCTCTCCTCTATCCTCTTAGATATATAGTCCTCCTTTGAAAAGGCTGTCACTTTAAACTGATGCATATTACAGTTCATAAATACGGATTATTCCATGCAGTTTTTGAGCTCTCCTAATTGCAATTCCCTGCCCTTTGTCAGAGTTTTCTCCAAAGAATCTCTTATAGCAAGTGAAATCTTCTTCAGCTTCTTGTGATGTTTCCAATTGAAAATGGGAATCCCTTGTCATGAGATTGTAAAACCAAAATAGAATTCACAACTCTGTCTGCAGGAGGAATATGATATCTGTTCACCTTGTGTTTGCGTGGAACTTCCCTGTTGATGGAGATTCTACCCGTCTATGTATCTACAAAACAGGATCACAGTGATCTGTTCTTACCTGATCTGTTCCTCAGGTGAAATGGAAGCACACTTGCTTAAATATCAGAAATACATGATAGGAAGATCAGATCTGACTGATTTGAGTTCTTAGTTCACAAATAAACATAATTATTGATGTTTGTTCATCCGTCTTCCCCATACCAAGTGAAACATAAAAAAAATAAAGCAGAATGAAGCAGTAATAACATTCTAGGCCTGCCTTGCTTCAGATGTATCCGGTTTAAGGACCTGATGAACTTGTTAAAACCTATCTTGAAGCATTCATTTCTTCTGGCATAGTAGATAAGAAGTAGATAACTCTCTATATAACTGTTTTCCAAATCCAAAGTATAAAATTACATAGTAAGGAAGTTTCATTTACTTGTTAAAGATGTGCCAACAACTGGGTGTGGTTCTCTGGTAAGGAAGAGTTTCCTACAATCTGTTTTTCCTGAGATTCTGACTAGACTGTTACCTGAACAGAATTTGGTATATTAATTACAGGACTAGAATGTGATAATTCCCACTAATATTAATGTATTTTCTGATCCCTTAGGCTCAAAAAGCTTTCTGTTTTCCTGTTTACAGTTCCTACACTCTCAACTTTATGTGTTTCTTTTGGTCTGGAGGATGTTTTTGAAAGCTGTACCATCTTAAATCCTTTTAGCTTGGTAAATTATTCCTCTTTATTAGATCATGCTAATATTTATTGTCATCATGCACATTATTACATGTATCTAAGAAAATGTCATTCATAGTATGTGTAACATATTTGAAAAGCAGAGCTGTTTGGTGCCTTAAGGGGATATCTACCTGCTGTATTTCAGAGAGGAGAACTGACCTTTATATTGCAGAGAAGCATCATGCTTTCAAGAATGGCAGAATTCTGTGTAAGCAACTGAAGATGTTACCAGCACCTCCTTGTGATTGCACTTCTTTCATAGGCTGTCCCCAGATCTGGCTTCCACAGAAGGGTTTCTGAGAGAACTTTTAATCCAACCCAAGCAAAATAAACAAGAACTCAACTACTCTACCCAAACTGGGGCAGTTGATTTGCCCTATAAGCAGATTAGAGGCCATTCTTACAGCAGCTCTTGCTGTGGAGCTGTTCAATGATACCTTCTATCTGAAGAGCAGCAGGGTGAGTGGTAATGTTTTCTGTTGCCACAGCTATTCAGTAGATGAAACTGTCCTCTAACTTTCATGTGATCCTAACAGAAGATAAATCCTTCAGGGTTTCTATGTGTAGAACTTGTGTGGCGTGACTTTTCAACCAGTTGTGTAAGAGTTTAATTGCATTAAACTGTGCCTCTCTGTCTCTGTGGGAGCTTCTGTCTCACAACTAGTTTATGATTCATACATTTTTCATAATAATATTTTTATTTATTTATTTGTATTTCTATAGTGAGAAAACTTAATAAAGTGTCATTTGTGATAGAGCATGAAAGTTTATAATTGTCTTCCAAGTTCATTCACTGCTTTTCCATCTCTGTGCTACTGCAGTCTGATGCTTGTTTTTCCTATAACTATATCTGAAATTGAGCAAGTGCTTTTGTGCATCCTGATAGCTTAATAAAGCTACACATTGACTCTCCTAGCAATCATAGTTAATTCATAGCAGGTTAATTTATTGTCCCAAATGCATATATGTTTCCAAAATGTCCTGAGCTGATATCTGGGGTCAGCCAACCTTTTGTACTCTGTGTCACTCAGGTGATCTGGCTTCTTAACGTGAATGCTGTTTTGGTAGAAGTATCAGCAATTACTTAAAATGCTAACAATTTGTCAGTTCCTATCTAAGGTAAGTGGATGTGAGTCATCTGAAGGTGGGGTCCATGCACATATGCAATTATTTATTCTACTGTAATGGATTCTTTGAAGTGTATCGTCTACATGGTACTACCATCAGTACTCCTTGTCTGCTACGATTTGACCTCTAGGAAAAAATTCAAGTGCCGAAAGAGATGTTTAGAACAACTTGGACACACTACTGTTTCTGGCCTCTTGCTACTTCACCAGAAAGACACGAGTTTCCAAGTTGTGTGTCACATCTGTCAGCCCTTGCCATCACCTTGGATATCCTATAGCGTCTAAAATGGCTGTATATGTCTGTGTATAGTCACCTGCATCTCTTATATTCTTTTCACAACATCTGCTTTTAAGCATTCTTGTGTGTAACATTACTTTTTAAAGCAACTACAGTTATTTGTGAAAAGTAAACAACTTTTAGAGATTCCCAGTCTGCCTCTAGAAAGTTATTATTCTTAGCTAAATCATTTTGCACATAATTGTGTAGATTTATTTTTTTAAGATCATTTATGTTTTGTAAATACTTTTCAAAAGAATTTATGTGGTTATCCTCTTACATTTGCAACCCCCAAATAAATCATTAGGAGAAAATAGATGTGGGTAATGTGTTTTTTATTCTTAAATTTTCCCCACTCGGTATTTATAACTAAAAGACTATGATTTTTAGTCATTAGTTTAAAAACAGTTACATGTGAGCAATTATATAAAATTTCAGTACATATTCCACTTGGGGTTGAAAAACTTTTCAGTTCTGGATGTAATCTTCCATGACTGTATGTACCTACATCTAGAACTGGACTGAAATTCTACAACCAGAGATATTTTTTAGACATTTTTCATTTTTATACACTCTTTGTCCCTACAGATTTGTTTCTACAGCCTAACAAGAGATTTAGCAAAAGCTAAATGAGGTCACTTGGGGCAGAGGGCCTTTATTTTACATTATGTCTTATGAAAGTACCAGTTCCACTCTTTCTGGATTTAAAACGTAAGTTGAAACAGAGCTTGTATGTGGAACGAGGAGAGGAGAGGCAAGCTGAAGTATCTTAAAAATACTGCTCAGATTGGAAACATTCTTTACCAAGGTTAGAAAAGAGAAATGAATGATCAGAGCAAAGGACAAAACATATATTTTGTTTGTTTTCTGCTTTTGTCTCATGCTTGGGGAAACTGAATTTTTACTTGGACAAACCCTTCCTTTCAAATGAAATTGTTGAGCAATATCTCCTTTTAGAAACATTATTCTAAAAATCATCCATTATTTTGCCAGTGTCTTTTGTCTTGAATATTAGTAAGTTTTGTTCCCACTTGGTGAAGTGGGAACTTGAAATTCCTTCTTTGCATTTGGTGTGTAAAATATCAAGAGTGGAACATTTAATGAGGTTTCATTACAGTCTTCCACAAAAGGATATGGTTTCAAGAGCTCATCTGTCACGTTCATAGTACTTTGCACTGGTTTTGGTTATTAAGTGTCACCCAGTTTTCCTCTTCCCTGCTGTACTACATTGTTAAATGAACATGTACTTTCTGAGCACAGCCACAACCCACTCAACTGCTAACTTTCTCCTGCAAGAAGAGATCATTACAGAATTTCTCAATGCAAGTATATGTGATCTTTCTGCAAAATTACGTTTTACATCTATTTCCATTCATGTCTTGAAAATTCTTCTGAAAGATTAACTGAAAGTTACAAAGAAATACTGAGTTGTTTTGTTTTTTATTTTTGGTGCATGGTAGAGCTGAAATATTCTAGTAGAATTTTAGCTTGAACAAGTGTATTGAATTTGTCCAGTGTTTCACCTGAGGGATGTTGACCATTATCTTATCTGTCTGATATTTTTAGTCCATAAACGTGTTAACATTTTAGTTTTCTGAACGATTCTTATTTTAATGTGGGGGTATAAGGCAGACTCTTGTGCTGTAAAATGTGGTGATTCGTGAGAGCCTGTCTGTCATTAAGATGTCTAGGAACCATGCCTTATATAGTCACATAGAAAGAAATTCTCATGGAAACGGCATTATGGAGGTGGCAGCTGCAGCTCTTTATTTTTGTCTATGTTGAATTTTGCAGTAAAAACTTAACCCTTTCTGTGATTGATGCAAAAGTTACATTTATGTCCTCCTCAAGTACAGAATATATGTATATCCAAACAAATTTCTGAAAATGTACAGAAGAGTCAAAACAGCTTAATAGGAGTTAAAATTAACTCTGTTTTTACCAGATTACACTGCTATTTCTGAAAATTTGGGCAAGAACTATATTTGGGTATTATAATGTGATTAGAATTAGCAGTAATTACTGACTAATATCCTTCCTCACTGAAAGCTTTTTTCTTCATTAGAGGTTGGCAAGCAATGTGCAGAAAACACCATATGGAGATATCTTTCCCCTGAAATCTTTCTCAACTTTTCTGTTCCTAATAAGTCATTGTGAAACAGATGAGTAAAATGTGGACAGTGAAAATATGAAGGTACAGCTAGTGAGGCAGCAAAACCCTTCAGTACACAGTCAAGTGCAGACTGTGATGTTAAGGGGGTGTATTGGAGGTTGTGAAGCTAGTAAGGGCAAACATAACCCACAGAGACACTCAGTGTGATTTCTAAGGGACTGTATGTTTTTTGAGAAGCTGGCAGTTTTGGAACCTGGGCGCAGAGCCTGGAGACCACCAACACCAACCTTGCCAACCACATCCTGGTGGTTTCTTTAGATTTAGGAAGAAGCAGAAGAAACTGTAATGTGGCTGGATGCTATTGCTCCTTTTCTGTGTTGTTGCTGGTGACAGAAGAAGCCCACATTCTTCAATAGTTGCTTAGTAATCGTGTTGTTATATTTCCCACATAGGTCTGTGGTACCTTGCTGTAATTTTTACTAGTGAGAAAACATTGCTCTGCCTCATCTAGGATACCAACAGCCAACATATTGTCATCAAAGAGCTGGAGCTTGGTCGAAGCACCGTGTTGCTTGCTGTGTGAAACAATGCCTTCCTGAATATTGCTATTTCAGTTTTTAAATACTATGAATTTTCTGCCTTACACATTTTCTTGCTGATCATCCCATTTGGTATTACTTTGGCAATACAATTGATATCCTCACTACTGAAGGTATTCCAATGTCTCCAGAGCAATCTTTACTATGCAAATAAGACTTCTTTGTTTACCATTCTTCTCTAAGAGGGTAGTCTGCAAATATTACTCAGTTTTGACTGTTCATTTTATCAATCAACTGAGTGTGGAGAAAAGGGAGTTGAAAATACATTTTTGGGCAAATATTACACGTGC